GGCCCCTACTGTTAACACACCTCCATTCTGGTGACTAGAGGGGGTAGGGTGCCTGAGCAAGTGGACACCCCCACCCTTAACACTGGTGTGTTCTGCCACGCATGTGCACAGATACTCTCAGCATTTTAAAGAGAGTCAGTTCAACAGCCAGCCCTGAACTGATTATTAATAGGGAAAAGGCCAGAACAAGGTTTGTGGAGAGGGAGCTAGAGTTTAAAAATAAAACAGGCCCAAAACTAAATCCTGAGGTACAGCATAATAACCAACAGCGGCATCTTGAAATTTATCAGGTGGTCTCGAAGGCAAGAAGCTGAAAGAAGATATTAAAAGCAAACACATATTAGGATACAGGTTTTTTTTTTTTCTTCTTCTTCTCTCCCTCCTCTACCTTTTCTGCAATTATAGACTACAGTATCCAATCTGGCTTTTTTGTTGTTATTGTTTTTAATACTTTATTATCAATTATGTGATAGTTTACATGGGAGAAAATCAGCTTCACAATGATCCCATCCTATATTGTTTCCTTGCCATGATTACAGTCCCATCCATGCATCATTCACCAACCAAAGGATATACACTGCAAGCCTGCCCCCTCCACCCCCAGTCATCAGCATACAGCCCCTCTCCCTCTCCATGTCCAAAGTCCCCAGCTGCTCCATCTCTTCATGTCATCGTCTCTGCCTCCATCTCTGGCATCACTGCTTCTCTGGGTAGGGTTCCATTCTCCTCTCTTCTCTGTTAATGGTCCCAGGGACCTCCGCTCCTAGACTGCAAAGTTAATCACTCTGCTCCCTTTGCCACAAAATGTCTACCTTTACATTACAATCAGTCCTGATAACAGTTATTCACTATTGTATATCAAGAGACCGATCTGCATCTCCTTTCATCAGCCCCACCTAAACAGATTGGATTCTCTGCTCAGTGGAGATTCTACCTGGCTCCAGGCCCTCTGGATCTAGGTTCCTTCTTGAAAGCTTGTAGGCCAGTCACTTCTTGCCTCTGTAACCCCCCATTCTGGGTAGCCATTGTCCAAGTTGCCCATCTCTGCCCTCTCTGTGTGTGGAGGGGGTGGGTGGAACTGATCCTCGCTGTGGAGATTTGTTCCCTCTTTTGAGCTACTGCTTCCATACGGGTAGGTCAAATTCATCAAATTGTATCAGATTATTCTTTTTTCCCTTCTTCTTTCTTCTTCTAGTTGAGCTCTGACGATCCAGTCATTGAAGCCAGGTCAAGTGGGTATTAGCTGCAAGTGTGGGTGTACTTATGCATGTGCCCTCTCTTCTTATCAACTGGACGCTTCACTCTCCACTCTAGTCCTCTGTGGCTATGTCACTGACTCTGGGTCCAAGAGTCCCCGTGTCTTGCCACTCTGCTGGCCAACCAGGTCTCCAGCCAGGTTCACAGGAGTCTATTGAACGTTGTAGGGCTTAGCTTGCAGCTTCATTGCTGTTTTTCCCTCACTTCCCCTTATTGGTGACGAACATGGT